ATTAAAAAATTATTTAATATAATTTATAATAACTTGCTTTAAATGGAGTGAGCAAAGCATATACTGTAGTCATTTTTTACCATTCTCAATCTAGACTTTATGTATTTGTTGATTTTCTTAGTTTTTATCTCCTAAAATGAATTTGAGTGATTAGTGAAAAAAGCCAAAGATGTATTCTATATATCAGAGAAAGGAAAAGTTATAAATAAAAATCTTCAATTAAATTAGATTTAGATCTATGCTATTATTATTATTATTATTTTAATTTAAACTTAATTATGAATCATGAATAAAAAATTAACTAATTTTTTATTAAATTTATAATCAATTAAGTGAAAAAATATATTCATCTTTAAAATCCTTAGTTTTACTTAGAAAGAAAAGTATATGATCAGCCGAAATTAAAAGACCCACGTTATTGACATTTTGCAAATGTAACTCATGAGAAAACAAGCTTCTTTAATTTTTCTGCATACCTTGTTTTGATTTGATCTAACCAACAAGACAGAAGTTTTCACACAATACAAAAAATGAGATTTTTAGTGATAATTTTTTTTTAATAAATGTTAAAGTTAATACTATAATTTATTACATTTATGACATATTTAAAAAATTAATCACACATGTATGTTTAATAATGATAAAAAAATTTACCATTAAAAAAATATTTCATTACTAAAAAATTATCATAAATAAAAAATAAGTTTGTAACAATAAAAATCATCACTATAACTCATCCCAATTAATACAAATTTCAAATAATAATCACATATATCTCAACATTCAATGATAACCAAATAATTTATCACTAAAAATATATTTCATCATTAAAAATTATCACAAAAAATACATATTTATGATGATGAAAACCATCACTAAAACTCATCATAATTTTGATAAATTTAAACTTTTGATCACAAATATTTACATGTTCAATAATAATAAAAAAATTCATTATTTAAGAGATATTTTATCGCTAAAAAACAGTTACAAATAAAATATAAAATTTTAATAATAAAATTCTTCACTAAAACTCATCACAAATCTAAAATATTATCTAAATGAACTGGGCTTCGTTGTCAGTGATAAAGGAGAGTAATCGTCAAACGTCGATACTAATCTAAGTCTACAGAAGAGCCCACATCCAATGACCTAGAAGCACCCAAATGACGACTTTGAAGCCCCCACCTTAAATGAACCAGACCCACCCCAAATTCTATTACCAATAATACTAATCCAAGTCCACGAATACCCCACGTCAAATTACCCAGATGCACGCTAAATAATGGTTTTGAAGGTCCACGCTAAATTTCAATATCAATGGTAGTACTAATCCAAGTTCACAGAAGGCCCATATCAAAAGTCCTACCACACAAGACCCAATTCACATTCTAATAAGAATCGACGTCTCCGCTGGAACCTTTAACCAATAAAAACATCCAATAATCTTTTTTAAAATTATGGCAAATCTTTATATTGATAAAAAAATTATGGAACTAGATTTCTTCCAAAATGAAACAGCAATTTACAAAGGTAAATCATTACAATTTACTGCGTTATTTCTTGTGTCTTATAGTTATTTTATATCTCAAGAAAAAAGTTTAATCTTATTTAAGTTTTCTTTAATTAATACATCATACATCCATAAAAGAATACATAAAAAAATAAATTTTTGCATTATAAATATATTTCACATCGGTGAGAAATATTTAAAAAAATAAAGTTTTACACTATAAAATTGGTGACTATATGCAAACTAATTGATTGACACTTGTGTTAATTTTATTTATGTGAGCTCTATTTGAGCAATATAATGTGAAGCTCAAATTTTAATTAGGCTTAATTAATTTTAATCAAAATTTATTAGTATTAAAATAATAATATTTTTTTATTAAACTTTTGTGACAAATATATATATATCAATTTTTTTGTGACAGAATTTTTGTTACCGTATTTATGTTGTAATTATATAAATACCTTTTTTGATTTAATATCAGTTTTAATAGTTAATGACTATTTTTTTTGTTACAACTGCGTTTGTGACTTTTTTGTCACTTAATTGTAATATTTGTGATGAAAATTATTGTAACAAAAAAAATTTTTGTGATGAGTAAATTTGTTACAAATAACTCATTAATAATGTAGATTTTTTTTTATCACCATAAAATTATTTTCTGTGACAAATGCTAAATTCGTCACTAATGTGACAAGGGTTTTACTAATGATTTAAATTTCATCACTAATTTTAGTCTATGACGGAAAATAAAGATTTAATAACTAATAATTTAGTCACTAAATATGGATTTTTTTGTAGTGACACTAACAAAAGACCTAATTAAGTCTTGGTCATTGTATTATGATCAAAGTCTTCGTCAATGCCTTGGTATTCAAGTTGTAAGATGGCTTCTTTTTTACCCTTTTGAGGATTTAAATGATATTAATTACACCATGCTTGTGATGGATGATGTTTATATATGAACTACTATTGAGATTAGAAATTGATATATATATATATATATATATATATGAATGCTTTATATTAATTTTCAATTTCACTAGAACTTTGCAAGAAACGAATAGATGAGATTCATGGTAC